GGATGGTATTGTTGCGAGCGACGCGGGACGTAATAAATATTGAACAATTCATATAGTCAATGGGTTTGTTTTCTGTTCCTGCACTGGTGAACTAGTGCAGTAAGCCAGTAAGCTAGAATGAGAAAAAATATGCTTGTCTTACTCCAATTTATTGCACTAGTTCACTAGTGTAGGAACAGAAAACAAGCCTAATATCGCCGCGAGACAAAGGCATTTATGAAGGAAGCGACTCGTGACGCAACGGTCGTGACGTAAACGCGAAAGACCAGCGTGGACCGCGTACGCGTCAGGCTGCTCGGGGAATCGTTCCATCTAATTTATTAACACGTCCAGTCTCGCTAATGAGTCCCGTGCTGCGCGTGCTTCGTGTACACATGCACATTGCACGGGATGGGGCACAGTCTGACGCACGTACGTGCATAACACCGTCATTCACCGGACGGTCTGCTGCTCGTTTCTCACACGTGATTCCGGTGTTGCGTTACTATGCGCGATTAGAGCCCGGGTTAGTGGAATCGTTATACAGCAAGTGGGAATTCTTCCACTACGTTGTACGGAATTTTTGGGAGCAAACGATAGTCTGCGTCTCTATACTTGAATGCGAGAACACGACAACACAAGACAAGCATCAAATTCAATTATAATTATATTATTGTTATAACATTCATGTATAATAAAATATTATGTGAATACTCATATTTTCATAAAAGTAAGTATACTTTATCATTAATTTGCTCAATAGTTTCGCAGTTGTATAATCATCGCGTACGTTGACGCGAACGTGACGTTCATTAGAACATTTATATCGAGTCAACAAAATGATTAGCACCGATTATAAGATTCGAATATCATATATGCGAACTACATATATTTTATAATAATACGGTATAAATTAAATTTTTCCTTCGATTAGTTACACGATTTATTCTAGTTCTGAAATTGCTTTTAGGGAAGATTTTTAAATTACGTTGAAGAAATATTTCTAAATGTCTAATTTATAATTAAAAAGTTAATCTACTTGTAACAGAAGAAAAACTTTGATATAATATTTTAATACAATCAGAATGTATTTAAGAAACATTATACATATATAAATGTGTAAATTATGTACATTCAAACTCATTTTCACATTTTCGTTATGTTCGTCTCTGAACATATTCTTCAGAAACAGCACTTCTGACTTCCGTCGTTGTTGTATGTAGCTCTTTAATCATTTCTAATTAGACAACCATGCAGTCATGGCAAATTAGCGATTTATTTGTACCAGTATATAGGCATACCGTAAAACGTAACATTTTTTAAATATGTTTCCGCTATGTTTGCTTGTAAATTAGTCATACACAGATTCACGGAGTGCGTGATAATAAAATGTAAATGATAATAAAATGCTAAACAATGAAAATTTCTATTTTTGCAAATTGTTATTAAAATATAAACTTCTAAGGGACAATGAAAATATGCTTTATCTGTTTGCATACAATCCCAATATTTGCTGAAACTCTATGTTTAACAGCGTCTATTAATAAAAGAGAAAACTTCCACATATACATATAAGTATATAAGTAGCATGAATCATTGGGAAGAATAGAAGCTCGCATTCCCAAAGACAGAGCAACAGGAACTCATTGTTAGCGTTAAATTTCGCTAATGAATAATCGTGACATCGAAAACTGTACAAGCGGTGACGGTTCTTTAATATATCCAACTCATCAACGGGTAATCGGGAAATCGAAACTTGTACCACGAATGATAGAATTCTACCAACCAAATCTCACTTTAGTTTTTCAAGAATAAACATTTCCTGCAACGAAACTCATCCCTTGAATCCCCTTATAAAAATCTGGAGATCGCTTGTGACTATTTTATTTTATTTCGCATTCGTGTTCTGAAATGCCGTTCTTGAACTAGCCATTGTACTCTCACACTCGGTGCAACTTCAATTCTCAATCTAAATGCCGAATTTAAATTTTGTACATGTTGCTTAATAAGCTTCGATGCTATTTTTATTTTCTTTATTAAAAAGGCCATCGAATTCTCCAATTCTCATAAATATATTATTATGTTTTAGTGCCTTCTATAATTTTTACTTTCCATGATTCTGAGTTTCTTTCATCGTTATCGCGATCAGCTGATTAGCGACCAGACCTATGGTATTGCACTTCATTTACTATCACAAATTAATTGACTGATGTCAACACTTTTCTCTAGACTAATAAATTCGTTAACTTTTCATAATCTTTTTTCGGAAACTAATACACTTTATTTCTATTAATTACCAAAATCGGGGGAATTGATTGAACAAACTGGCTAACAATAAGGATTTATTAAAATAAAACACATTATCTAAAAATTTTTTATATATTTTAACACTTTCTTCGCGATACCACTATCTTAATTGATGAATTGTCAATATAAGAATTTTAAAGAAAAAACGCAATTGATATATTTTTATATATTTCTTATAATTTATTGTTTATCACTAGATTCATCAGTAAAATTGATGGTTTTTATCTGCATTTTTGTGTTCTTAAAATGTTAAGGAAAAATAATTTGCTCGTTTACCGAGAAGTGTTAAATCTCGCAAAGAAATATGTTTACAGAGGGATATGATCACATCTCGACATGCAAGTTACCTCGGATGCTCTTTTTGCATCTTAATACTGCGCGTCCTGGTTTCCTCTATCTTTAGAAACGGAGCTGCCCCTTGGTAATCAAGTATTAGCTGCACGGTCGCCTCGATAATGACCGTGACATATGACGACGATCGATTATCGAATTAACGAAGTACGTAGGCGGCTACTCCACCGTGTTTCATTTAAGGGAACGACATAGGAAGACAAAATTGTTACGGCGCAATTTGTCTAGTAAATCATCAGAGAATTGCGAATAACAATTGTATGCGCCGTTTGCTTCACATGGTATCTATTTTACTTCTAATAATTAAAGCCAAAAGTTGAATTTGCACTTAAATCAAATCCGTTTTTCAGAATAAAATTTAGATAACTTAATTTTATTATTTTGTATTAAAATAATAAACTGCGTCTGTTGGAAGTAATTTTAGTAAATATAATTTTGTTTACTTTATTATCTTTTTATTCAAGAAATTCTCTGACAATGAGTAGTTCAATTTTTTTTAATTTTTTAACTATTATTCCTTACTGTGCGGAGTGATTCCATTTCTTGACTATGCACTTCTACACAATCGTAATCTTTGATACATCACCTATTTCTTGCTGTCACATCTAATGGGTGATACTTGAGAAGGACCAGTATTACTGGTCGAAACGTCGTGTATTAATTGAAAATATATTTTGCCAGTTATCGTCGATATAATTCTTTTATTGTTGTTTTTTATTACATGTACATCTGTACATGTACATAGATCAATGAGTCAGATCAGACAAGATATTGCAGTTAGTTTATTCGCAAGCATTCGGGCATTTAGTTAAAAGTTTGAAAGTTCCTTCATGCCTACAATTTGATATTTAACACATGACAAAGACCGTTTATATTTTCATTGTTTTATAACAATAATAAAAAAAAGGAAATTGTAACCAATTAATCCAATATTCGTGCCATGGAAGGGCGAAGAATACTGGCATTGAGAAATTGGTTTAACATTGAATATTAGTCCCATTTGACGTCCATGTGTTATGTAGGCACACACGGAAAACACTTTGAGACTGGAAATTAGAGAAGAAAAAGGGATTGTTTCTTTTTTTCTTAGAGGAAAGAGGACTGGGTCTTGAACTCGGGACTCGGAAATGGCAGACTGACTCTCTACCTGCGTGGCTACTAGCGCTTCTACTAGACTCTGTAGCTTATACGTAAATAATTTAGGGGCATCCGTTTAAAACTCGATTTTATGTCAAAGAATTTAAAGGACTCAGAGCCGCGGCAGGATGGTAGTGTCTAAATATTCTACTCTAAATTTATTGCGAAAAAATATCACCCTGGCCGAGGTGATATTTTTTCGCAATAAATTTAGAATAGAATATTTAGACACTACCATCCTGTCACGGCTCTGAGTCCTTTAAATTCTTTGAAATTTGTGTTTAACACATACGAGCCTTACTAATTTATTTATCTATTTTATGTCTTATATTTAGCGAATTACATGGCTAATTCTGTTTAATAAAATTGTTTAATAAAACTAAAAATCGTATAAAGCTAAACAAATAGAGAATGAAATAGTCAGGTCTGGAAATGTTAAGAATAATTGAAGCTTCCACGAATCTCGAATTTTAGGTTTGTAAAACAACAATCAGAGAAATAAAACTAAAAATAAATAAGCTTGACAATAAGATAGTCGTATCTAAGAACGTTGAGGACAAAGGACAGAAATGGACGCAGACTCTTTGGAGCAAAAGTAAAAGAACGAGGCGGACTGAACGAAAGATAAGAAAAGAAAGTTTGATTCGCGGAATATTTATAATTTTTTTACACATTGTTAATGTCAAATCGTTCCCAATACAGTACGCCGCGCGAAACGCCGTCCAAGCAAACTTTCCGGACGGTTCTGTGCACACGAGGCAAATTGTTTAGGTAACTATTTTTCGTCTGCGCACGTTTACATTGAAAGTCCCGAGTTCTAGCGTGATAAGCGTGCTACATGCGATAATTGCTTGAGATAAGATACTTTTTACATCGCTGCGCCTTATCGAGAGACTCGTTGGCGGACCCGTTGTCTTTCGCCCATTTCGTCTGCAGGATAAGATCCGCCGTGATATCGCACCGTAGCCATCACTGCCCTTGGAGATTTCATTCGCGTCGTAGAAAATTGCGCTCGATGACGAGGTGAGGCACCGTGCTGACCTTTACGTTCCCCTTTCCACTCGATTTAATAAAGCGGTTATCTGCATGCATACACGTACGCCGTAATGTAGGGAGATGCCTTGCGTCATCGTTGTAGTGATCCGCCAGCTCGGATATCAGGCAACGTGATTCGGGAGCCATGACGAGTGCATGCTCGTCTCGCAGACGCTACCACCATAAATCACACCTCAATCGACCGTTCGGTTAGACTTGTTGCGCGCGGTCGCAACGTATGTTGAACACGCGTTTCTCTCTGGATATATTATTTAAGAGCTTAAGAGGGATAATAACCAGTGCGGCAGACTCGACTTGCTAATTGACTAAAAAGTAGGTGAAAGCTGTAAACAATTTTCTTTTCGCGTGTTCCCTTTTAGACCATTGTCTTGAAAAAAAAATGTAGCATTACCGTTGGGACACTTGTGTTTTCTATTAAAAAATGTGCTGGTGAAAAATTTCATGTTATTAAATATTTAGCACATTTACGTGTCAACGTAACATATTGTTATTGTGTTAAATTGAACTCGAGTGTTAAATTGTTAAAACAACTGAAAAAAATAACATAATGTATACCTATTTTTAATTTTACACAATAGATACGTTCCATATTATTATTATTATTGTGGCAGGATTTATGTGTTAAAATTTACAGGAAATAATGTTGATTTTATTTTGCAATATAAAAGCTTGAATTATTATATCTGTGAAATTTAAAAATAACTTTTTTAGTTAATTTTATCGTTAAAAATGTGTTCATTTTACACCAAATTTATTTTATATCACTTTGAGCTGTGCATTTATTTTGTGTTTAACGTATCCATATTATGTTAAATTAACACAAAAATGTGAGCGTACCGTTTGACATTTGTTAAATGTAACACAAAATTTTCAACTGCGATCTATTGAAATTCTCAACGGCACTTTCTCTTATTATCGCTTTAAAAAAGCTTCGAATGGTTGTATCTTCCTTCAAATACAAATCCTACGCATTTAAAGATTTTATTTTCCTCTTCTATAAATGTAGAGATTTTATTTTGCTTCAACCGTATTTCTTTTCACCTTAAAATTTCATTTTTCTTAATCGCATTCATTTCGACTGCCAATAGTACGTGGAAAATATTTAATATTACAATATGCATAAATATCTTTAATCCACGTAACTTTTGAAGCTATTGTGCGTTTGCCGTTGCACGCCTTGGCTCTCGAGCGAACTATCACCGCATACAGGCGACAGGCACCATTCGCGTAAATAACGAGCGGAATGAACCGAGCGAAAGGCAAGTGTTCTGCATTTACAACGGATAGCCTTGCCGTGCCTAAAACGGATATTTATCTCTATTAATATCTTCAATCAGCCTCAAGTTACACGTGTATGTACCGTACGTATATCGAAATACCGTACGAGCCTCTCGAAAGGCCAAACTGATAACTCCACTCCGTATCTCGTGGATATAAGTATCTTTCCTAATTTTATAGAGGCGTACGAGTAATTTGCAACTTTGCCAGGTTTCTCTACTTTCCACTCCGGAGCGGAGCTGATCAGCAGCGGCCCGCGTAAGGCTGATGGCAGAGAACGAACTGTAAACGCTTAAAGGCCGAATCAGACTAGCAACTGTCGACGCGGATTGGATTGGGATTGACGACTGGCGATTTTCTTCTAGTCAATGAGAGTCGATTACATCGCTTGCTGCTTTGCTCTCATTGGTTAGAGGGCAATCAATCGCAATTAATTGCCAGTCTGATTTGGTCTTAAGACTCGGGACCGCTAAAGACACGCGTGCGACAAAGCGCACGGATGAAGAGGGCGAAGGCACGATCGCGCGGGATTCCGGCTCGCATTTTGCCCGCGAGATCTTCGAATAACCCTGCCGCTAGAAAGTGAATCTCCGCCGTACTTTCAACGCCGTTCGGGACCGAAGCTTCGGGGGACGCTATGACGCATAGGTGCAGCGCAACTGGAGGATGAGCTCACGAGATGCCGCGGACCCTCCCGAGGCCGAAATAGGATTTTACGGCTGCCGCAGGTGCCGTCTATTCCCAGTTCTAAAGCAAATAGCGCGTCGCATCCATTACGGTCGACACCGCGGCGTACGAGGATAAGAACGGAGAATGAGACGCGCGCAAAGTGGGGAAATTTTGAATTCCGCCGGCAGTTCTTGTCCGCTTTCATCTCCGTGCGTTCAACTTCTTTCTCTGAGATGCACTAAAAATATATCTTACTAACGCAGGTAGATTTCTAGGTGTCGTAACGAAAGTTTGTCGTTATTTTTCGTTAGAAGTCTGTTAGAAAATTGTTTGTAGCCTGCAAAATTTATAGCAGCAACATTCTAGTAATACCTTCTGGAAAGTTTAGATTTCATGACTAAATATTAATCGTTCACAAAAAAAAATGAATTTCAATACCATATCTAAAACAATCTTCGTAAGGAATATAACTGTTTATGTGCCACAATCAAACGTTATAATGGATGGGCGCCACAGAAAGACTCTCTTCCTTATAACATTCGACAACAGTTTAGATAAAAACTCTGTTTCTATTATTTAAATTGATCAAATACAAAACATATGCAATTTCGCAGTATTGGCTATTTATTTATATATCTCAGTTATTTTTTCGTACCTAGAAGATCGCCGCTGCAGTTACGAGATCTTTTTTTTTCAGTGATATCGAGATACCATATATATTATAATAATTGCAACGATTAATCGGGATTAATTAAAATTAATCGCGGATACCCTTTAACGTAAGCGAGGTGAAAAATGTGATGCAAGTAATATCTTCTCCTTAGCCCACGTAACGGGAAGCATAAACCCGATGATTTTCAATGGTAACGCCAATATTTCAGCGCGAGTGCACGAATGTGCCTCCATTACCATAAGAAAAGGATGATTAGTCGAGGCTCACCGCCGGCGCGCAAATATTTTCACACTTACGATTCCGCTTAGTTTTCGGGCATTGTCTCTCGCGTTTATTTTGTCGTTGCGGTAATTTTATATTATTATTGTTTTCGTTCATCTTTATCATCATTCACGCATCGTCTCCCCGTCGCGACGGCACGGTTCCGCAATAGCGCGTGACAAAAATTCAGCGACGCACACCTCGGAAGTTATGTAAAATTTGCACGCATGCCGCGAGCACGTTCGACGCACGTGATGCGAAACGAGCGGCGCGCGCTGCGTGCACGTGTGTATATTTAATCATGCGACGTAGGTTTCTAATATGTCGATAGTTGGTCTGCGGTCGAGGTGCCGCCGGGAGAAAAATAGCGTAGTAGCGAAATGGCGTGTCTTGATTAGCATAACCCTTGGGGAAAATTTACTTTAAATAAAATTAAAGTTTTTTAAAGTAATCTTTCAACTCTAAGGGCCAGTTTCACAAACGTCGTTTAACCGCTAACCCATGGTTAATTGATCCTCTGTCTCTTCTTGGATAACAAGATAGAGAAAGATAGGAAGTCGACTGAACTCTGGTTAACAGTTAACCGACGTTTGTGAAACTGGACCCAAGAGTTTAAGGCCGCGCGGCATAGCACTTTCTCGTAAGAACAAAAACCGCACGCGGTATTATAAATTATATCGCATACTTTTCACAATTCTTACTTTTCTTTTAAATTCTTAAAGTAAGCTTTAAGTTTATCTTAAATAACAGTTTAACGTGTCCGAACTTACTTCTCATTTTTCTTATTTTTCTAAAGTAAAATTTTAAGGTTTCCTAAGGTACGTTTTCCCAAGGCATACGAAGACAGCGTTTTCGGAGAATAAACGTTATATCACTTAAACACATGAAAGTAACAATTTTCTGTTAGCAACCCAGTGAACACCGGGCATGAATTACATTTGTTCATTTACGTTACAATGTCTTAGTCAACAATGTAAATGTAATATAACACATGTGTTACATTTACATTATTAAGTGAGAAATTGTAACATAAATGCGGTGTTAACTGGGAATCGATAAATATTTTGTAAACAATGTCTTGAAATTATGAGTCAATCATTCTGCCAAGGCCTTCAGGATGGAAAAATACACGCATTTTCTGCCCATTTATCATGTTATCGTCACAGATGTGAAGATCATTTTTCGCATGTACGTAGCATTGAAATCTTGACTCGCATGGCAGAATCACGTCTCATGGATCTGGTGTATAGATCCTTGGACGGCTTCGGGTCTTCGTTCAACGGGGAGCAAAGTGAATGACGCGTCGTAATCGCGCCGCTAATTGGAACGCGACTATCACGGTATTGTTTGTCGACGAGCGTGTTATCGTACTATACGTAGACCCGTGTGTTTTCTCAGCGTCTCCGCGAGGGCCACGTGAGCACCGGCACTTGATGCCGTGGCTCGTGGAAGACGGCCTCTCGATTATTTGACACCTGTCGCACGATAACGCTTTCATTACGGGTGGTAAAAGGAAAACGGACATTTTTCCATTCGCACGTGGCGCCAGCGGGACCCCCGCACGCTTAGCGTAACACATGACGAGGCAAATCGAGAACTGACTCATACTTGATTCGGTCATAATTCATATTGATCCACGCTGAACGCATACAAAGTACGTGCGATATGGTGAGTATGCGTACGATGTGATTGTGATGAGCTTATACTGAGTCACAGACGTGAAATAATACAGTTTGTCACGTTAGGGGACTAAAAATAAAAATTGATATCCTCCTTACCCACATAATACGCAATAAACTTGCACCAGACGTTTTGTACAGAATCAAATAATTATTCGCTACAAACGATACGTACACTGAAAAAAATTTCTGGTTGAATATGGACGAATCAGATAATTCCTTTAGGATTTACCAGAATTCCTGTAATCCTACAGCAATTCTGGTAAATCCTAAAGGAATTCTGGTAAACCCTAAAGGAATTATCTGATACGTCCATATTCAACCAGAAATTTTTTTCAGTGTATGTATACATTACATGTATGATATTATACAGGGTGCACTAAAACCACCGGATACCCTTTTAATCATAAATTCTTTAGAAAATTTCAAGAGGAAAATTCTAGTACAAAAATGTCGAGGGTATAATAGTTTTACAAGTATTAAGCTTTCCAAATGTTCCAATATATAATTTTAAAAAATGTATATTTATATATGTACATATATAAGTACATTTATTAATATTCCTTTTAAATGTATATTTATAAATGTACTTATATATGTATATGAATAAGGTATGTAATATTTTAAATTATATATTGGAATACATTTTTGGGAAGTTAATACTTGTATAAACAATTTGTTTTTATTTTATACACTGTAATATGTTAAAAACCTTAAATAGCAACACCTCTCGGACCTGTTCATAAAAAATGCTTATCATATAAGATAGTGCGTTGTAATTACAAAAAAAGTTAATGCGCACAGTACGAAAAGTGCGTTTATATGGCATTGATAGCTTAATTATTCATTTCTCACGGCACGTGGACTACATTTTAAGAAGCGATTATGTTACAACGATTATGTGAGGCGTTGGGGATAATTCGTTTTCGGGATGTGTCTGTTCGCACGAGGCACGTGCATTAATACCACAGTTATATAGGACAGATCGGAATCTTCGCTGTGGGAACTGTTACAATTACAGTCTCGGGAGAGTTTGATAAACACTGAATGTTACCGGATGTTACTGAAAAGCGCCCCAAGAAAATTAGAAAAAGCTTATTAAGACACTGAGAAAAATTTCCATCGGATAAACTAATTAAATACCTAGTGTATCTGACGGTTAATTTTTTCGATTAACTATTCGGATTAAATTGTATACATAACCGATGAAATTTATCCGATGAAATGCAGTTACCGATGAACTTTAATCGAAAAACCGTTATATTTTTCATCGGATATACAATTTAATCGAATATATCCGTTTGTTATTATGTAATTGGATTATCCGATTATATTTAATCGAATAGTTTTCTCAGTAGAATCAATACAGATGATTAAGCAAACTTATATAATAATAAATTCTTTTAATTACATTATCACGTATGAAAGCTGAAATAGCGATATAACATTTATTAGCCATATTAATCATACTATCATGAGCAAGACAAAACAATAATATTATTAGGGATTAAGTGCCTTACAAGTAGCTTCGATCTTTTACGACAGACACTATGAATATGAATTGAATCTGACAACGATGACTCACTTAGGCTTGTTTATTAAGTTATACTCGTTTTATTATTTAATTACTTAATTTATATTCGTATTCTTTATTTAATCTACATATGTTTTACCTATTTTGTTTTACTTACACTGATAGAAAAATATAGTTGAAATAACCAT